TGGAAACATGTTTCCTCATTTAGCCAGGGCCTTAGAGGAATGTCATGCAGACTCCTTTGATTGATCTACCAAAACTTACCCCATGCAATGTTACAACAGTTAAAATAAATGATAACAGTCAACAGGGAAGAGTCAAAGTAACACTTATTTTAAAAAGTCACAGAATTTACTCAGAGCTTTTAGTTAAGTATTTCAAAACAAAAGTTAGACTAGTTTGCAGTGAAATTGAGAAATATTAGTATATAATTCGATAAATAAACTATGCTACATCACTYTGGTTGTGTCAGGTGACTGTATTAGAAGCAAGGAACAGAATAGGAGGGCGTGTCTCTGATGATCTTTCTCTAGGCTGCTGTGTCGGTAAAGGGGCACAAATTCTAACCGGGTGTATTAACAACCCTATATCTGTGCTATGCGAACAGGTAAGTCATTAACTTAATAATCTTTCTGTCAGATGAAGYACAAGGAGTGTGCCCTGCCCTGCATTACTGCAGTTATGCATTAAATCCAGCAGATCTAATATCATATTTATTAAAGTAGAGTTGCATTTTCATTCTATCCTGTGCTTTYAACCAACTGAAGTTTTTTCTCCAGATTCCCTGGTTTTTACATCACTACAAAAAAATTCAGTTTCTAAATTTTAATTTGATYATGRAATGAGGACCAAGGATTTATTAGTTTATGGTTATTATTAATTGATTATTAATGCCTGATTAAATAATAATGCTTATCTCTAGTTTTTATTATAACTGCATTTATTTTGATGTGAGTTCAGTTATTGCATCAACTATGTGTATGTTCAGAAGAGATAAGTAGCTAAAAACTAGTGTCAGCTGCGTTGGTGTTTCTAATGAAACAGTGATGATAAAAGGGTAAATTATACACCGGGAAAAGATGAAAAAACTGACCTTTTGGACGCCAGTCCCCTGTCAGAATAAAAGAGAGCCCTTGCATCCAAAATGACAGTTTTTTCATCTTTTCCCGGTGTATAATTTACCCATTTATCATCACTTGTACATGTTCAGTGATGTTCTCTTCACATGCACATAACCAGCTTAGCAACGGTCCAAAATGGAAAACTATTACAATGTTAAATGACTGCTTAAATCCCATCATTTTTTTCTTCACTTTATTATTTAGCTAGGACTGAGCATGAAGCACATCAGTGGCCATTGTGATCTTCTAGACAATAAAGGACAAGCAGCTGATATCAGTGTTGACAAGAAGGTTGAATTTCACTTCAATTCCATTCTCGATGCCATTGCAGAATGGAGAAAAGGAAAGACAGAAGATATGCCATTAGAAGGTTGGTTTAGTTGTTCTGCTGATCATTCTAATGCATGAAAGACAAACTACATCTTTGTACATTTGTATTTTTCAGACAGAATACAAGAGATGCACAAGATCTTCTTAGAAGAAACTCAAATAGAATTCTCAGAGGTTTGTTACAGCTGTATATAATCATA